CGGGGGGAGGGACGGAGTGCGGTAGGGGAAGAGGCGGTAGTAGGGGACCGACTCGTCGAACGTGATGTCCTGGGAGGACAGAACACGGCGAGAGGTGGGGTGGTAGAACTGCCACCCTGGGGCGTCAGGGGGGAAACCCAGGAAGACGCAAGGAGCAGCACGAGGGGACAGCTTGTCCGCAGACAAGTCGCGGACAAACGCCCGAGATCCCCAGACACGGAACGCAGACGCATCGCCAACCTTCCCCGTCCACAGCAAGGCTGGGGAGGTCTCCGGCATGGAGACCCTGGGCTGAAGGTTGATCTGATGCGCCGCGTACCGAACCGCAAACGGCCACAGAAAATGGGGGGCAGCCGCATGCATCATGGACGTACGGGCGACGTCCATGACCATGCCAATGCGGCGCTCAGCAATCCCATTTTGCTGTGGAGAGTCCGGAAGCGTGAAGGTCTGGCGGATGCCTCGTGCACGACAGTAGGCTCGCAGAAGGCCAGAGGAGAACTCTCCTCCTCTGTCAGAGTGCAGACGCAGAACAGGAAAGTCCGAGCCGAAGCTCCGCCTGAGCTGGAGACGAGTTGCGCGGATCCAGTCGATCAACACCTCAGTGACATCACCCTTGCTGCGCAAGGGGAAGACTGTGGTGTAACGCGAGTAGTCGTCAACCACCAGCAGGAAGTAGCGCTCGTGACCCTGTCCACGGACGCGGGCCGGGCCCCACACGTCCATGTGAAGCGTCTGCAGCGGGGCCTCTGTCGGAGGAAACTGGGAGGAGTGAGGGGTAGCCCGCTGTCGTCCCTCGACACAGGGGACGCAGGTAGGGCCAGGCCCCGGAGGAAGTGGAGGGAGGGACCGGGGAAGACCAGAGACAAGGACACGGGAGGCCATGCTCCGGAGACGAAGCAGGGAAGGGTGACCAAGACGGTGGTGCCAGAGGAGAGTCTCGTGAGACAGGAGGCGACACGAGCAGGGGGCAGACTCAGGACCAGACCTGGACGCTGCAGCAAACACCTGACCCGACGCAGCTACCTGACCAGACGCAGTGACTGGAGGAGACGCAGTGGTCAGTGTATACAGGCTCGACCCCGGCCGACGTGTAAACGTGGCCAGGTGTCGGCCTGTCCGAGCGTCCGTGCAGTGGGTCACCCGCTGACTCGCAGGAGTGAACTGGTGAACCCCCGCATCCTGTAGGTCAGCACCACTCACCAAGTTCGTAGAGAACGAGGGGAGGTAAAGACCAGACAGGGTGCCAGAGGGGGCCGCCGGACACGGGAGGACAGTGGAGAAGTGAGCAAGGACAGGACCCCCAGAGGGGTCTGCCAGAGAGACCGCAACTGGCCGGCCAAGTGGCGTGAGTGTGGTGCGGTCTCGAAAGAAGGAGCGAGAAGCCCCCGAGTCAAGGGTAAAGGTGTGGGAGGCCGAAGCCGACGCAGAACCTGAGAGAGCAGACTCACCAGTACCTGAGGGAGCAGACGCACCTAGAGCAGCAGCCTCGCCAGCACCTAGAGCAGCAGCCTCACCAGGACCTAGAGCAGCAGTCTCAATGCCCGGGTCGGGCGGAAAACACCGGTAACAGTCACCCTCATCACTAATAGTCACAGTATACATGGCAGCAAGAATAGCATCAAAGTCAAGGTCAAAGACAGCTACACCCGCCCTAGACAGCTCACCCCAGCGGGGGATCTCAGTGGCCTCAGGGAACTGGTGACGCCAAGCGTCCGTCAGGCGGCCAAAGCAGCGCTGGGTGGAGTGCGCACCCCCGCACTGCTCACCCGCGCGGTCGCCGGTGCGCAGGACGTAGGTGCACGGACCAGTACCCCCACCCCTCTGGCGTGCAGTGTACCACTCACGGAGCTGCTGAGGGGAGGGGACGTCACGAGTGCGCTGCTGCTGCTGCTGCTGCTGCTGCTGGCGCTGACCACCACCGGAGCTGACCCTCTGCGCAGCGCCACCCCGACCAGCTCCACCTCCTCCGCCGCCTCCTCCTCCACCGCCGCCACCTCCGCTCCCTCCGCCACCGCCGCTGCCGACTGCGCCTCCACTGCCGCCACCTACACCTCCACCCCCGCCACCACCCCCACCGCCACCCCCACCTCCTCCACCGCCTCCACTGCCGCCTCCACCGCCCCCGCTAGCTCCTCCAGCGCCCCTGCCCCCCTTGCCCCGGCCAGGGCGGCGTCTCCCGCTAGGGGTAGACGCTGCCCCAACCGACTCCAAACCAGCGAGGTCGGCCGCAGCAGCAGAGGCAACAGAGGGCAAAAGAGGGGAGGGGGAACACCCCTCAAAGATGGGGGTGCGAGGGTCACCACGAGAGGCTCCTACAGCGACTATGCTCTTTTCTGCTGCTAGGAGGGCCTTCTCGAGGAGGTCAACGGTGAGAGTGGTGGGACAAACCGAGAGGAAGTGGTCCCTGACTACGCGAAGGGAGTCAGGGAGACGGGTGACTATGTAGTAGAGGGTGATGTACATGGGGGGGGGGTTCTTGGCGCAGAACTCAGCAGGAAGCGCAGCGCGGTAGCGAGTGTCACTAGTGCGGAGGTGCGTAATGAGGTCAGCGACTGTGGGAAAGGCAGCAAGGTCAGGGAAGAGGTACGGTAGCATGAGGCGGCTCAGTGCAGCAGTGGCAGGGGAGGAGTAGCGTGCAACTACAGCGTCGTACAAGGTCTGAGCACTCTTGTACTGGCTAAAGTGCGCACGCTCAGAGGTAGGTAAGTGGCGACGCACAGCAAGACGTGCAGCAGCATCGCGCGTGGCCCACTGTGAGCGAACAGTGGCGTCAGCATCAGCAGCGGGGGCAGGAGAGGCACCAGAAGTGAGGTCAAAGAGGGAGAGGCCGTCTGCTCTGTCGCACTGTAAGAAAAGCTGCAGGTCATCTATCCAGACGTCAAAGTCAATGGCCCGACCCTCAGCGTCAAAAGCGAGGACACTAGGGGTAGCCATGACAGCAGTAGACTAGCAGTGCAAACAGTAGGGTGAGGGCAGTGCTGTGAGAGAGGCGCTGCTCTTACCGGACAGGGCGGTTCGGGCGGCTCGGCTGCAGGGCGGCTCGGCGACTCGACGGCTGGGCGGCGCGGCTGCTGGGCGGCTCGGCGGCTCGGCGGCTGGGCGGCTGGGCGGCGGGGCGGCTCGGCTGCTGGGCGGCTCGGCTGCTGGGCGTATCGGCGGCAGGGCGGCTCGGCTGCTGGGCGGCTCGGCTGCTGGGCGGCTCGGCGGCTGGGCGGCTCGGCTGCTGGGCGGCTCGGCGGCTGGGCGGCTCGGTTGCTGGGCGGCTCGGCGGCTCAGCGGCTGGGCTGCTCGGTTGCTGGGCGGCTCGGCGGGTGGGCGCCGTAGGAGTAGGCGCCGGGGCCGTAGGAGCAGGCGCCGGGGCCGTAGGAGCAGGGGCCGGAGGCCGCTAGGGCGGCGGATCGGGGCCGCGAAGGCGGCGGATCGGGGCCGCGAGGGCGGCGGAGTAGGGGCCGCGAGCGCGGCGGAGAAGGGGCCGCGAGGGCGGCGGATCGGGGCCGCGAGGGCGGCGAATCGGGGTCGCGAGGGCGGCGGAGTAGGGGCCGCGAGGGCGGCGGATCGGGGCCGCGAAGGGCGGCGGATCGGGGCCGCGAGGGCGGCGGAGCGGGGCCGCGAGGGCGGCGGATAGGGGCCGCGAGCGCGGCGGAGAAGGGGCCGCGAGGGCGGCGGATCGGGGCCGCGAAGGGCGGCGGATCGGGGCCGCGAGGGCGGCGGATCGGGGCCGCGAGGGCGGCGGAGTAGGGGCCGCGAAGGGCGGCGGATAGAGCCGCGAGGGCGGCTCGAAGGGGCCGCTAGGGCGGCGCTAAGGGGGGCCGCTAGGGCGGCGCGAGAGAGGGGAGCGCGACTCGGGCAGGGGCTGAGTGCGCTCCGGGCAGGAAAAAAAAAAAACGGTGGGCCCTAGGAACAGTTCCCACAGGGGAACCTGCTCGATACCATGAGAAGAAACAAGGAATGAATGAACTATGAATGAATTGAGTACAAGTAATAACCCTAATTGGGTTGTACCCCTTATGGGCTACCCCACTATAGCCTACACAATATGCATGAGCTATAATGTTCTGACACTAGCTTCACGGGCAGACCGCGGCCCGTGAGGCACCATGGCGACGGGGGAAAGAGACAATCGGCGAGGCGAGGGGAAGGCGAGGCTGCGCGACAAGGGGAATGCGGGACGACTGGAGGCTGCAGGGAACGACGCGGAAGTTTGGCTCTGCGAGGGGAAAGGAAAGGGAGCAGAAAAGAAATATCTCTATCCTAAATCGTACTTACCGTATACTCCCGGACAAAACACCCCCCCATAATTGTACACCCCCGGGTAGCTTGTGCGGGGTGGGTGTTATGATAGACCTCGTTTCTACTATACCCCCCTTTTTGGCTGATTTTCTATAACACCCCCCTTTTCTTACGGATTCATTATTATAGTCGTTAACGAGTAGCTGCAATACGGAAGAATATCGTGTGAATTTCTCCCTCAATGAAATTTCGCGGTACATTCAAAGGCAATCTGCCGAGATTTGCCCCCTCCCACTATTTCTCTGTTGCCACGTGCAGGTGAATCTTCCGTTGCAAGTGGCAAGAGAGGTGCCACATGGCATTTTCGTGAGGGCGATGAAGTTCGAGGCCGAAACTCACATTCGCGCCTCAGGCAGTGATGCTAAAACGACCAGCAAAACACCCACATTGACTAATTAAAAAAACACTAACACTAAAATATGCCATATGTAAAGACCCGGGTATTATGTATTTTTTTCCTATGAGGAGACCCCCCCCCATTTTTTCCCTGTATTTTTAGCTATACCCTAGGGTGTTATGTCCGGGAGAATACGGTATTCTCCCACCACTGAAATCACAGCCTTTTTACCCCTAATCAGCCTTTTTTCGCTGACTTCTGAGGGCCTGTGGAGTACCATCTGACAAAGCCACCATACAAGCATGACAAATAATGAATACTAATGGGTACAAAGACCTTGTACAGCGTTTCATATCTGCCCATTTCCAAGTCAGGCCCGGACGAACGCCCTTACTTCCCCCTTGTCCCCCCTGCTGATTCTGAAATCTCCATCAAGGTAGCTGGTTCTGAAGCCTCCGCTACGAACCTCAGGAGGTGGCCGGAGGAAAGCCGGCAACTGGAAAACAGTAAACGGCGGAGGGAATGAGCCATTGGGTCTCACTGCGGTGCTTTCAAATATTATACGGATAGATGAAGGTCCTGAAGGAGGGAGCAGAGGGGAGGGTGGAAGAAAGGTTTGTGAGGTTTGGAAGAAAAGACAGCATGCATTGAGGTACAGAAGCAAGAGGTGGCTTCATGACATGACCAAAACATTGATGTGTGCAAACCTCCAGTACCTAGGCCCCGTGTGCCCTCACCAAGGCAAGTGCACACACAAATGTGACAAATGGGGACGTCAATTGAACTACGAAATGACATCCCAAGGGTCTGTTTGTGGACATTTTGACAGGGCAGCACGGAACCCACCGGTGAGTTGGAAAGTGTGCTGCAGTGACGCAGTGGCCTCCAGTGCAGGTAGTGGCCATGGAGCACTGACTCTGAGCTCCACAATATTATCAAGCTCCTTTGCAGTCACATCCACACGCTGTGTCACCTGATATAGATGCAAGCAAACATACATCACACACAGAAGGAAGACGAAAGGGAGAAAAGCAATGGAACAACACATGGTTGAAAATCAAGAGAGCAGGCTACAAGTTGACCTGAACGACATCTCTCCCACCACTCCCCTCCTACCTGTGCATATCCTGATAACCCCAAACAAATTCTCGTTCTCGTTCCTCCCCAGTAACCCCACTCAACACACCTGTCCAATGGACACCGGCCCTCCAGCAGGCGGGCCAGGTCGGAGTCCCCCAAGGCTGCCTGAAACGAACCCACTGCTGTATACCAGCCGCCACGTGCCGTCCAGCAAAGCCAGATCGCGGCTCACACCCCGGCCAATCCCCTTCACGGCCACGCCCATGTCCGTCTCGCCTGTCAACGGCTTCCCCTCCGCGCGCGCCCTGCTTGCCATTCCGCCGATGTGGTCCTCCTCTACCGGCGGCGGCGGGGAGAAGTCGAGCGGAGCGGCGGCGAGCTCGAGGAGGGCCACGGCAGCCTCGACCTCCTTGGCTTGCTGTGGTGACGCTGCTATTCCGCGATCCAAGGGTGCCACGAGACGCTGGGGAATGAGGGGCAAGGGAGAGTGGGTGAGTGAGAGTGAGAAAGAGGGAGGGAGAGTGGGTGAGTGAGAGAGAGAAAGAGGAAGGGAGAGTGGCTGAGTGAGAGAGAGAAAGAGGGAGGGAGAGAGGGTGAGTGAGAGAGAGAAAGAGGGAGGGAGAGAGGGAGGGAGAGGGAGAGAGAGAGAGGGAGAGAGAGAGAGAGATAGAGAGAGAGATAGAGAGAGAGAGAGAGAGAGAGAGAGAGAGAGAGAGAGAGAGAGAGAGAGAGAGAGAGAGAGAGAGAGAGAGAGAGAGAGAGAGAGAGAGAATGAGTGCGTCGAGCGAGTGGGCGGTAGGGAGGTGGTAAGAAAAGGGAAAAAGAGCTCGGATGTGGGAAAGCGAACGCAGTAGGTGCATGATAGACGTCAGGCGATTCAGCGGGGCAAAAGTCCAAGATTCCAGTGCTCCTATAGATTTCATGGATGGCATCTCAAGTCCACACCAGGATGTTGCCTTTAATCTTCTCCACATCAGACACTGAGCCTCCATCAGAGCTTGCCTCTTGACCCGCTGCTACCGCCGCCACAGCTAGTCGTGAATTTTCTCTCGCTGACCCAGTCAAGGTGGGTAAACTCCGGGCGCCTCCACTCGTAAGACGACGCGATGGAAGAGACAATTTCACACGCTCGCAGGATCGCAGGCTTGAGAGGGAGATTTGAGACTCATGTCGGCATCGTCCAGAAACGTTGAAGTGTAGTCCGCGAGCAGCTGCAGCTGACAGCACAGCGTTGGTCGCCGACGACATCGTTAATTTGAGAAGACACGGACAGCACGAGCAATCCTGTGTTCAGATGGGTAATAAAGATGGAAGCTGTTCTTGTCGCGAGCCCTAAGACCACTTTTATGACTGCAGGGGAAGCCAGATGGACGCATGTCGCCAGCTGCTCGGTCTGCTCTGCAAATTCCACGACAGATTCCAGAAGTGTGGGAGGAAACTTGTTCGGAAGCCGGTTGACACGAGCGTGGCGGTGATTGGCTGGCTCTGAAGTATCTGGCAAAAACTTTGGAAGCAGCAGATACATAACACTTGTATCAGCAGCAGGAGATACTTAACAAAGGTACACCCACTTTCGTGGACATGCGTCTTACACAATTGTTGATTGTATTATTGCTTATAGTGTATTGCTTTTCATCAAACATAGGTACAATTAATATTGCGTTGCCACGCAGGCAGGTACGAAACCATCAAAACTGCATATAGGGGTATTGAGGTGCATTTGGAACCTCAAACTTGGGTAGATAATACGGTGATTGAAATGGGAGCAGCACCTTGAGAGGGTTGCCACATGGAGGCGGGCCTAGCCAGGCACTTGCAGTGATGAAGTTGTAACTGATGAATGGAGCAGCTTCGTTGTCATTAAGCTGGTGGCTCCATGGGACCCAAGCTGTAGTATTCATCCCAGGACCCCAGCAGGCAAACTGGAGATTGACAGAATTATTGGAGCCTGAGTTATCACAAAATAATAAGCAGGACTCTTGGAGAAACAGCTTACCTCGGCGAAGTAGGATGTCAGCTGGCGTTCAGGATCACCCCAGTCATACCAGCCTCCAGTGGAGATGACATCGTCAACGAAAGAGTACGAAATCACCACCCTGCTGTAGTTCCCCCATGCCCTTCCTAGAAACAGCTGTGGCACGTATAAGAACGCAGAACAACAATCTAGACTTATGGCCCACCAGCAAGATGAAAGCCCTACCTTCTCATTTGCAGTGATGTTTGATCGCATTAACAGGAAACCAGTTTCTTCTGATGAATTGCAGCGCTGTTGTGCAGCAACTGCGCCTCCATACCCAGAAGGCTTCCCGTAGAACGCACAGCTCTGCATGAATAACTTGTCAGTGGCACGCCCACAGAGCATTGCGAGAGTTCTCGAGAAACGAACCTCATAGATAGACTTTCCGTTGCCAAAGATGAAGTCAACATTCCCTTCGAAGTAGCAGTTTCGAAAGTAGTGAGTTCCCTGAAATGGTTGCCAGTCAATACGCTTTCAGCAAGGACCGATGATTCCAGAAATTCTTACCCTGTGATCATAGAGCGTGTCTTGCCAGCCAACAAATCGGCAGTTGTAAAACGCGGCATAGTTTCCTGATATTCGCAGTGCAACGGCCATGCCCGCGGGATACGTTTCGTTTTGAAACGGCGGTGGGAGCTTTGCTGAATTCTGGAGATTTCCATGCCTGTCAGAATCATTTCCATAGGTGGGCATCGTTTGCCTATTCAATAACAGTACCTGAAACGTGATGTTGTTTGCAACGAAGAAGTCTGCATAGACACAGACAGAGCAGGTGCTGTAGGTCCCTAAGGGAGTACCATCAGCATTTAGCTTCCCAGCCCAATCGTTGTACGATATAATTGTGTTCTCCGCATCTGTTCCTTGCAGCATAATGCTCGTCGTCTTATTCCGGGGTATGACGACCTTTTCCCTGTTTGCATGTTAGGGGTTAGTCGCCTATTTGAAACAAAGGTGCTCTCTGCGGAGCTCTCAAATCTTACCTGTAGAACCCTGGAAGAATCAAAACGACGACTCTGTCTTGGCCCAGAGTCATCGCCATGTCCACAGCATCTTGCACCGACGTGAAATTACCGCGCTCAGGATCCGAAGATACAACGATGGACGGCAGGGGATAGTCGCCCCAGACAAGCTTAGGCTCCCTCGCCATCGCGAAGCTGCGAAGTACCTGGTCTTCAGTTTCCCAGCCACGAATTTGGCTCACACTCAATGTCCTTCTCGTGGCATGTCGCTGTTGTGTCAGTGCTGGTGGGTAAACTCGTCCTCGTGCCATTTTCGGAACGATGGGAGAGGCCTCAACGGCCCGGAGGTATGACATTGAGAATGCCAAACCTGGAAACAAGCGCATTGTCAGTCATTGAAGCACGCCTTTCGACTTCCACAAAGTCCTTCCACAGAAACTTACTTAGAACGAATAAGATGGCCACGACTAGGCCATTTTGAAGCCCTTGCGGATTCAACGCAGCCATCGGAAAATGCTTTGAGTGAAGACTGCTCGCGGGAGCATGAATAAGAATCTGGTCACGTGGTGCTTTTGAAGGAGCTGGTCAGCAGCAGATCGCGCGCAAATCGAGGTTGCAAATTTTCCATCTACGTCCGCGGTTTGAAGCACCTCTCGAGATTTGTTTCCCTGCTTTGGTCTCTCTGCTGGTTCGATTGGGTTTGGTTTGGCTAATACGCTGACAGCGATTTTGAACCGTAGATCAACATTGTCAGAAGCGGATTCAGCGCTACCCAATACGATTTGTCGATACAAGAGCACTGCGACCGTAGAACTCTCGATACAAGCCATTCATTCCATCTCAACATCACAACCATCTTTTTCCCCTCCCTATCCCAAGTTCCAGAATTCTGGAGGTCCATCTGTTAGTGCTGCTGATCAAGAATCCATTGTGTTCAACAGCTCTTCCTGCCAATTCCATCTACAACATGCGCACCACAACAGACCTATGCTTTGCTGAGCACCAATATATCTTACGCCTCCTGTTAGCACACAGGCCGGATACCTGCTGACTGTGTTCTGCATTCTGCGAAGACGGCATGGCTGTCGAATTGCGGCCATGCCTGGTGTCTGGCCTTCCATGGCTGTCACACAGACAGCAGCCTCTACAGTCCACGCGCGTGATTCTTGCGCTTCTTCTTTGTGCCTCGATCGCGCGACTAATGCAAGCTATGGATTCGCCTGCATTGGAAAATCTGCCAGTAGATTCGAAAATAAAGGATCCGCAAAGAGTCAGCAGCGATCATGGATATCTGTCTAGTCATCCGCCTTCGACAGTGAATCATCTCATGCTAGATGATCACGCTTCGAGCGACGCAGCTCTAGTCCATAATCTTGCTCGATCGCGTCCAATGCACGAGGATCTCGCCACTTCCACCGCCAGAATGTCCAGTCCTGCCTTCCATACACCATTCCCCACTGACCTTCCACCGAAACCCCCAGCCCTCTCAACGACGCGTCGAATACTCAAGTCCGCAGCTACGAATCCTCCAGTAGAATCCAATTCGTCCTCCCTATTTCCAGCATCTGTTGCTCTGTCTGGAAGCGGTCTTCACCACGCCACTGCCGGCGCACAAGGCTGCTTCCTCGCCATCCTCCTTGACGCTAGCGGAACACCCTCCGGTGCTGGTGCAAGCTTTCGGGCACAAAAACGGCGCCTGACATGGCGCGTCCAGTTGTCTCTACTGCACGCTCCCCCACCGCCTTCCCCTCCGCCTCCTTCTCCCCCTCCCCCGTCTCCGCCTCCGCCAAGCCCACCTGCGCCCCCTCCTCCAGCGCCACCATCCCCAGAAGCCAAGAAAGAGGGAAGGCGGCGGTTGCATGAGGAATTCAAGCCAAGAGATGGTACAGGTGCAGCAGTTGATGGCGATGCTGGTGCTGATGGTGATGCTGATGGGGATGCTGTGGCTGATGCGGCTTCATACGCTGGAGAAACCGTTCTAGTTGTTGGGGGCGCTGAGAGCATTCAGGGTCGGGAGTATATAGGGGAGCGGCGGAGGTTGCGTGCCAAGAGTAAAGACAAGGGTAAGAGCAAGAGTCAGAAGACAGAGGGCAAAGTGAAGGGCGGCTCAGGGAATGCAGAGAAAGAAAAGGCTGCCGAGGCTGTGAAAGGGACAGAGGAATCTGGAACCGATTCGACTCTGTCAGGCAAAGTAAAGGAGAGGGGAGAAGCAGAGGACAGAGAAGAGGGGAGAACGACGAGTGAGCGAGGCGTGGGAAACCGGAAATGGGTGAAAGCAGGCGAGATGAGGGACGACTGGCTGGTATCAGGGGGTCGAATGCAGTACGACCCGAAAGGAGGCTTCTATGTGGGTTGTTACGTTGCTCCTCTGCCTGGAGTGTACTCCCTCACTCTCTCCCTCACACTCATGCCTCCTACCGAGCCACAGGCTCTCCATGCAGCACAAGCAACACCAACTGGGAGACAACAAGCAGCAGCAGGAGCAGCAGGAGCAACAGGAGAGGAAGGTGGGGAGGCAGCGGAAGCTCCAGTGTTGGTACACGTGGCGAGATATCACGTGACAGTGGTGCCAAGGGCGGGGCAGCCAGGGAGTGCTGTTGAAGGGGATGGCTCGCGGAATGAAGGGAATGCAGTGGGAGCAGGCAGCAGGTGGTGTGACAGTGAAGCAGTTGCTCGGGGGCATGGCAGATATGCGAGCTGGCATGGTGCGTTCATGTGGTTCTGGTTGCGTGAATGGACACGGTGTGATCTGGAGTGACCGAATGAAGGAGGAGGAGGAGGAATGCGAAGGGTGCCATGCTAAGGGGTTTGTGTGTCTGCCTGGATCATGGGGGGTCTTTTTTTTGCTGTGATTTCCACCTTCATTTTTGTGAATCTCAACCATTTTCGGGTCTTCCCCACAAACTATAGCAACTGGGCGCATGAGTTGCTGTGCCTCGTGCCTTTCTCCACACAAACCCCAACCTCACACTCACCTCCTTGTTGCCCCATTCTACCTTTTCCTGTACCCACCCTCCTTTCCCCCGATCACCAGGCAGCAGCATCACCCTATCCACATGCCGCATATACCCCTGGTCGCCCCACCATGCGTTCGTCCCTCTAGCCGGCCACTCTCTCGCAGTCTTTGGCGACTCCAACTTGCGTGCCTGGGCGGCATATTTTGTCACCTTTCTCTCGGGTGGGGCATACAATATCACGCACCCTGCGGACCATCGCCCGCTACAGGCAGCATATGAGCTCACCTGGGCTCAAAGCGCTTATACCGGCTGGCCTGGGCAGGGAAGGACAAAAGATTCTGAGCTGCCCGTGGGGCTGCAGTTTGGGCGACGGGCGAGGATGCGGGCAGAAAGAACAGATGGTTGGCGGAGCTTTGGGCGGGTGAGGGTTGAGAATGCATGCTTGAACCAATCAGGGGTGGACATGTGGCTATTCCCCCGCGCCACTGATAAGCAGATGAGCTTTTCCGAAATACTTGGGGAAGAGGCGGTGAGCAGTAGTGGGGCAGCAGTAAGGCTTGGAGCGTCAGAGGGCAGGAGAAGCCTCTTACAAGCAGACTCTGCAGCAAGAAATTCCACAGCAACGTCAAGTTCCCTGGTTGATTCAGTGCCCTCAAATGCATTAGCTGAAGCTAAAAGAATGACAATAGGCAGTGGTACGGGAGATGAGAGCGAGAGTGCACAGAGCAGGCGGGCGCTGTGGCTTGTGAAGGAAAGAAACGGCAAAGGCAACAGCAACGTTGCGTCTACGAGCAAGCACAGGCCCTCTGGCACCACTCCATGGCTGCCTCCCCACCGCCGCTTCTGGCGTGTGGTTGCTGGGGTGACGATGAAAGATTTAGCGGAGTATGAGACTGCAAGCGAGTATGCTTTGGCTCTGCAGCAGCATGTGGTGCCGTCTCTGCTGCAGCTGGTAAGACAGGCAGCAGACGTGGTGTGGGTGGGAGGCTGGGCAGTTCAGGCAGTGAGTAGGCAGCAAGGGCAGGGGGCAGATGAAGGAGACGGAGAAGGGAGAGAGGAGCAAGCAGGTGGAAGCCGGTGGGGGTCGGAGGAGCAGGAACAGCTACAGCAGCAACAGCGGTGGTGCACGGACGGAAAGGAATTGCTGGTGAACGATGCAAGGGCACGGTTGTTTGATGCTGCTGCATACAAGGTCATGCGCATGCATGGTGTTCCATTCCTGGACCTGAGATCGCTCACTGAAACCCGCCCCTCTCTCTGCCCTGACGGCTGCCACTACCTCTGGCCCGTGCACCACGCCCTCTCTCTCCTGCTCCTCCACCTCTGGTCCCCATACGCTCCTCCCATGGCTCTCTCCTTCAGCAGCAGCAGCAGCAGCGGCAGTGGAAGCGGCGCCAGTGCCAGCAGCAGCACTGGGGACAGCAGCAGCGCTAGCAGTTTTGGAAGTAGTGGTGGTGTGGTGAGGTTGCCGGTAGGGTGTGTGGACGCAGATGCACCATCCAATTTAACCAAAGAGGAGGTGGTGGTGGATAGAGATGAGGCGCTCAAGAAGGCAGAGATGGAGGGCGGTGGGGAGGTGGAGGCAGAGAAAGGAGGAGGAGGAGGAGGAGGAGGAGGAGGAGGAGGAGGAGGAGGAGGAGGAGGAGGAGGAGGAGGAGGAGGAGGAGGAGGAGGAGGAGGAGGAGGAGGAGGAGGAGGAGGAGAAGGAAGGGGCGAAATCGCTGGCGGTAGTGGGGGGGCGAGTGCCGCACACGAAAGCACAGAGAAGGATGCGGAGGGAGGAGGGGCAGCAGGGAGTTCTGGAGAGGGAAAGCCGTGGCCAGATGTGGATGCTCTAGAGCAGTTGGACTTCGGCAGGTGGTTCCCTGGTCGCGGCACAATGCTGGAATCCACTAGCGCTCTTCAAAGGTGGGTGAACAAGGCTAGGCGGGCAGTGGAGGAAGGAGGAGGAGGAAAGGAGGGACCAGAAGAGGATGAGGAAACTTCGAAGTGGGGCTCAGTTGAGGAAGGAGATGGTGCAAAGGGTGGTGGTGAGGATGGCTATGGGGGAGGAAGTAGCAAGCAAGCTCACGGGAGATTCGGTGCAGCAACAGCTGCTGCAGCAGCAGTCCTATCACGCATTTCCATCACAGAAGTACCCCTGCCACTTCAACCCTTGGCGCCCTACCTCCTACACCTTCCTGGTAATGATTCCTCCTCTTCCTCCTCCTCCTCTTCCTCGTCCTCTTCCTTGTCCCCTTCCTCTCCCCTCGCCTACTACCTCCCTTTCTCTCGCGCTGTCCATCTGGACCACCTGGTCGTGCGTCAGACCCTCGCTCGCTGCTTCGACATCCGCAACGACTGCCGCAACCTGCGAGCCTCCTCGCTCTCGCGCTACCACCGCGACTGCCTGCCCAAGGACGGAGTCATGACAGCAGTGGCTGCGGGTGTGATAGAGCGCTGCGAGAGCTGGTGCCCGGGGGAAACCATGTGCTGGAACAGCAACAGGAGAGCGGCGGCCGCGCTGTCGAAAGCAGCGCTGAAGGCGCCGATTAAGCTGAGAAAGGAGGAGGTGCTTCTGGTGGAAGTGAAGGAGGCGTTTGTTACACCTGCTGGGGAGGTCTACGGGGTGGGGTGGAGGCCGCGAGGGGGCGGCGAGGGGAGCAGTGGTGCATCGAAGGGAGGAGATGATGAGAGTAATGAAGGTGAAGGTGCTGGTGGTGGTGATGGAGTAAGTGGGGAAGGGGGCGCGGGTGGGTTTGGGGGAGGCTTGGAGTTGAAAGACGGGATGCTAGCTCTTGACGTGCGATTAGGGCAGTGCCACCGCCCCATGGAGCTCCTGCGAGTGAGGACAGACTGGCGGTGGGGCGCTGAGCATGCAGCACGCACCGTCTTCGTGGCAGATGCGGAGGAGGATGGCGTTGTAGCAGCAGTCACTACATGCCTCGCTCGCATTGCCCTCTGGAGGGATCAGCTGCTGCAGGACCAGTCTATCAGGATCCACGTGCGGGGGCTGGAAGGAGGGGAGGGGGAGTACCCACACTACCTGCCGTCCATGCTCTCGTTTCTCTCGATCTCACCTGGTCGACTGGTTGCTGGGGACCTCTATGCACACCGGATTTATCTCATGGACCCCCCCTGCCGTGCTCCCTTTCGAGCTTTGGATGGGGTTCTACTGCTCAACCTGAGGAGAGTTATACACGAGCTGCTGAGAGGGCGAAGGGGGGAGGAGGGAAGCGTGAGTGCTGGTGGTGACGCTGCGATTGACAGCACGGGCGAGAGTGAGGACGGAGGTGCTGGAGCCAGTGAAAGTAGTGATAGTTTGGGAAGCAAGAGCAGCAAGAAGAAGGTGAATGAAAAGAAGAAAACGACAAAGGCGAAGAAGAAGAAGAGCTCAGGAAGCAGCAGGAGGAGGGTGCTCCGGGAGGTTGGAGCAGATGGAGAAGGGAAAGAGGCGGCTAAGAATGGCACCATTGTGGTAGTCCAAAACCACTGGTTCAGAAAGGTGAGCTCTCCATGATTGCTGCATGTCATTTTCCAAGTTCCAGCTGCACGGCTATTTGCACGTCGATCAATTTTCCACTGGAACGACCGTGCCGCATTATCCTCCCTGTTCTTTCTCTGATTCCACACTCTGAACTTGTCTTGTTTCCACAGGTACGAAATCTCGATGAGTTTGTTTCCTCTCTTCGGCAGCAAGTATCACTTCCTGTGGACGTGATCACAGATGACGGCAGGCACAACGTCTCCGACCTCTGGCCGCGGTTCTACCAGGCAGCTCTTGTCATCTCCCCGCACTCGGACGTCCTTGCACATATCGTGGCGTGCCGGCAAGGAACGCCGGTGTTGGAGTGGATGCAGCCATGGCGTGCTGAAGACCCTGCTAGCGCCAGCCCGCGGTTTCAGACACTGGCTACAGGCCTTGGCCTGCCGTATTATGTTTCGGTGGTTGACTTCCAAGACCCGTTCGACGACCCGGATACAGCAGAAAAGACAAAATCAGACGAGGAGAGCGAGGGGAAAGCGACAGGCATGGACTATATAGGGGGGTCGTATGTTGAGGTGAATGTTCGGCAGCAGGTTCGAAACGTGGTAAGGATTTTGGAGGATGTGGATGCAGGAGAGGGGTGGAAGGAAAAGTGTCAGTTGGTGGAGTACCAAACCAGCTGACATTGGTGTGAGCTTGAGACTAGAAACACATTTTCTCAACTAAGATCTGTTTTGAAAAACAAAACAAAATAAAGAGTGCACAAATACCGTACCCTCCAACCAGGTGGCGTCTCTCCAAACCTTTAATATTAATTCAATATATATGATTAGTATAGTTTTTATCCGTTAACAGAAGATTTCAGCAGTCGTGTACTTGCACGCGCTCTGCAGTTGCCCGCCCGGAACGCACATGAGTGGCAGGCTCAGCAGGGAGCGCGGTCCCTCCAAACCTGGCGGGGTGTCAGACTCTCAGATTCAAACGCGGTCTGGTGTAGGACTCTTCTGAAACCACTGGATGTTGGCGATGTGATGAGGCCATTCTCTCCCCTCCCTCCAACACGAATTCCACCCACCTGCATCCTCCACAAAAAGGGTCTGGCTCTCGCTCTGTAGGTGACTGTCTTACGTTGTTTTGGTGACTGGCTCCCTGTCAATTAGTGCTGGTGCAGTTTCTGTGTCCACGTTCGCGTACTCCCGTACATCGAGTTTTAGGTTTCTTAGGTTCGCTCCTCCTTTCAGCCATGAATTCTCTAGGCGGTGATTTCCCAGCAGCGTCCCTGAAGAACGCGAAGACCCAGTCGCAACCAGTCGACCACCATTCTGTGTTGAAGAGGTGCGAAACGAAGCTCGATGCAATCCACCGTTTGGCTCATTCGGTGAATTTAGCGTCTAATTGTACCGTCTCTGCTGGTTCCTGATCTTGAGCAGGTTGCAATCAGAGTTGATGAAGCTCATGGTGCGTGTCAAATTCCACGTTCTTTATCGCAATCGCAAGTATTGCAAGCAATCCACTAACTTCTTACGTTCGTAAATGTACAGACATCTAGTGATCCCGGAGTTTCTGCCTTTCCGGAAGGCGACAACATCTTCTCTTGGGTTGGTACAATCCAGGGCTCTGCCGGAACCGTGTACGAAGGCTTGACATACAAACTCAGCCTGAAATTCCCTTCCGACTACCCGTTTAAGCCTCCGACTGTCAAGTTCGAGACGTACTGCTTTCACCCGAACGTGGACCAGTTCGGTAACATCTGTCTCGACATTTTGAAGGTTGGTCGCAGTACTGATCAGAAAGGAAAAGTACTTCTTTCCCGCTTCGAAATTGATGACTCAATCCGTACAATATCGTCCTGTTGACGTTTCAGGACAAGTGGTCATCCGCTTACGACGTGAGAACCATTCTCCTCTCCATCCAGAGCCTTCTTGGAGGTGAGAAATGTTATCCTTCGCTGACGACGTCAAGCAGCTTTCGTCTGGGCTTGATTTCTCATTTTGCCACTTTTGACTACCTTTGGATGCAGAACCCAACAATGATAGCCCACTGAACGGACATGCCGCGGCGCTCTGGCCGCATCAACAAGGTAAGCTTGAATAAAAGTTCAAGGGCAACTATGCCGACACCTTAAATTAGTTTCTAATGGGTGCGGTGTCTGATGGCAGAGTACCGAGAAATTTTACATAAGAAGCAGAAGGATGCGGATCTGAAAGGGACTGCTTGATTTCCAGCGTTTACTGGTGGAGACAGACAGGCGGTAACGCCATTTATTCATTCAAGAGCTCAAGAGTACCAACCAAAAAGAGCAACATATATATATATTGGCGATGACATCAAGATCATCAGCCTGATACAGCCTTGAATCACTCTCAATGACTAGTTGCTGACTGCTGCAGCTGGAGGCACTCTGTTTAATTTTATATTAAAACCCGCGTCTCATAATTTCTACCATATTACACTTGGTTGGGAGTGGGCTCCTGGGATTGGTGCACGAGCAGCGAAATTTCTGCACGAGAGGAGGGGTGATTTGGGCGAAACCTAAACACTGTACCCTCAACACCAAACCTGACGCCCTAACCTGTTGACACACCCAAACCAGGATTACATGTTCGGTGGTTTGAAAATCCCGGCGACAAACCCAGGCGACGGAACACATTTTCAGGAGTTTGGCCTCCCCTCCAGCACATCGTCATCCACTCCAGCCCCTCCCCGTTTTAGAGTAACATAGCGTCATTTCTGCTCCCTGCCTCGTGAAAATCTCTCACTTCTAGCCTCGTGAAAAGCTCCCCCATCTAGCTACAATGTCTCTAATGTCGGACCGAGCGGATAATATGCACGTCGCACGTGGAATGTCGGAATCCTACGATGCCGTTTTCAAACAGAGAGGCGCCCTGGAAATCGCTCGTGAGAAAAACACTGCGCGCGATTTACACCCGGTTTCACACCCGCCTCTGCTTCACGCGCATTGGCCTCGACGGTATGCCACCCCAATACCACGGCTTCCTTTCCCGTCAAGTTCCCTTCCCGCGCCCTCCTTTCCCGTCGCCCGCGCAACATTCCCGTCGCCCACCCTACCCGTTGCCCGCGCTTCTTCCCGTCGCCGTCCGTAATATTCGTCAGTCTCCCGTCGGCTCGTCCCATCGTTTTCCCTGTCTCCCTCTCTCTCCGTCGCCCTCGCAATCCGGGTCTCCCTCTCTCCCCCTCGCCCTCGCTTTCCCCGTCAATGAGGCACCGCCGCCCTCCCTTTCCCCGTCGCCCTGCCATCCACTGCTCGTCTCCCTCGCCTTCCCTCCCGCCTCCCTTCCCATCTCGCACGCGTGTCACCCTACGTATTCCCCCCCTACTCACTCTGTTCCCTCACTCCAATAATCGCCTTCCTTCCGCCCACTTATTTCCCTTCCATGCTTCCCCCCATCCCCTGCCCTGGTTTCCCCCAGCCCGTGCCCTGCTTCCCCCCCTCCCCGCCTCCTCTACCCCCCATCCCCCTCCCTGCGTCCCCCCATCCTCTTCATTCATTCCCCACCTCCCAAGCCCTGCTTCCCCCCAACCGCATTTCTGCTTCCCCCCCTCCCCATCCATGCTTCCCCATGTCCTCTTCCCTGCTTCCCCCACTCCCTTTCCATGCTTCCCCATGTCCTCTTCCCTGCTTCCCCCCCTCCCCATCCATGCTTCCCCATGTCCTCTTCCCTGCTTCCCCCCCTCCCCGTCCATGCTTCCCCATGTCCTCTTCCCTGCTTCCCCCCCTCCCCATCCATGCTTCCCCATGTCCTCTTCCCTGCTTCCCCCCCTCCCCATCCATGCTTCCCCATGTCCTCTTCCCTGCTTCCCCCCCTCCCCGTCCATGCTTCCCCATGTCCTCTTCCCTGCTTCCCCCCCTCCCCATCCATGCTTCCCCATGTCCTCTTCCCTGCTTCCCCCCCTCCCCGTCCATGCTTCCCCATGTCCTCTTCCCTGCTTCCCCCTCTCCCCGTCCATGCTTCCCCATGTCCTCTTCCCTGCTTCCCCCCCCCTCGTCCATGCTTCCCCATGTCCTCTTCCCTGCTTCCCCCCCTCCCCATCCATGCTTCCCCATGTCCTCTTCCCTGCTTCCCCCCCTCCCCATCCATGCTTCCCCATGTCCTCTTCCCTGCTTCCCCCCCTCCCCGTCCATGCTTCCCCATGTCCTCTTCCCTGCTTCCCCCCCTCCCCATCCATGCTTCCCCATGTCCTCTTCCCTGCTTCCCCCCCTCCCCATCCATGCTTCCCCATGTCCTCTTCCCTGCTTCCCCCCCTCCCCATCCATGCTTCCCCATGTCCTCTTCCCTGCTTCCCCCCCTCCCCATCCATGCTTCCCCATGTCCTCTTCCCTGCTTCCCCCCCTCCCCTTCCCTGCGTCCCCCCATGTCCTTCCCTGCTTCCCCCCCTCCCCTTCCCTGCGTCCCCCCATGTCCTTCCCTGCTTCCCCCCCTCCCCTTCCCTGCGTCCCCCCATCCCCTTCCCTGCTTCCCCCCATCCCCTTCCCTGCTTCCCCCCATCCCCTTCCCGTCTTCCCCCCATCCCCCTCCCTGCGTCCCCCCATCCTCTTCATTCTTTCCCCTTCTCCCAAACCCTGCTCCCCCCCATCCGCATTTCTGCTTCCCCCCATCCCATCCCCTGCCCAGCTTCCCCCTATCCCCTTCCCGTCTTCCCCCCATCCCCTGCCCTGCTTCCCCCCATCCCTGCACTGCTTCCCCCCATCCCCTGCCCTGCTTCCCCCCATCCCCTGCACTGCTTCCCCCCATCCCCTGCCCTGCTAAACCCCCATCCCCTTCCCTGCTTCCCCCCATCCCCTTCCCTGCTTCCCCCCATCCCCTTCCCGCGTTCCCCCTATCCCCCTCCCTGCTTCCCCTCACCCCCATCCCTGCTTCCCCCCATCCCGTGCCCTGCTTCCCCCCATCCCCTTCCCGCCTTCCCCCCATCCCCCTCCCTGCGTCCCCCCATCCTCTTCATTCTTTCCCCTTCTCCCAAACCCTGCTCCCCCCCATCCGCATTTCTGCTTCCCCCCATCCCCTTCCCTGCTTCCCCCCATCCCCTGCCGAGCTTCCCCCCAGCCCCTGCCCTGCTTCCCCCCATCCCCTTCCCTGCTTCCCCCCGTCCCCTTCCCGTCTTCCCCCCATCCCCCTCCCTGCGTCCCCCCATCCTCTTCATTCTTTCCCCTTATCCCAAGCCCTGCTTCCGCCCATCCGATTTTCTGCATCCCCCCCTCCCCTTCCCTGCTTCCCTGCAGTGTCTCCTCGACCGCCACTCCACTTTGCTCCCCACACATTTCACCGCCCTCCCGCCATAGTCCATTCAGGCCAATTCCCTCCCCCCACCTCCTTCGGTGTGCATCCCTCCACATCCCCCTCCCCATCCCCCTCCCCACCACCAGGCTTCCGCCCTGCTAGTATGGCATCGGTCGCCGCGCTTCTGTGGCACCTCTGTTCGCGTGCACATCGGCCTGTGATGCAGTCTACTGCACCGCACATCACCGTCACATTTTGTCCATTGATGGTATGTGCGTGGATGGGTGGGTGCGTGGGTGGGTGCGCGGGTGTGTGGGTGGGTGGGTGGGTGTGTGGGTGGGTGGGTGCATGTCTATGAGTGTGCATGTCTGTGTGCATGCATGTCTATGTGCACGCATGTCTATGTGCCCTCATGTCTGTGTGCCCGGATGTCTATGTGCATGCATGTCTATGTGCATGCATGTCTCAGTGCATGCATGTCTATGTGCATGCACCTCTATGTGCATGCATTCCTAGGTCCATGCATGTCTATGTGCACGCATGTCTATGTGCATGCTTGTATGTGCCTGCTTGTTTGCTTGCTCTCACTCCCCTGTTTGATTGCTCCCGTCTGCTAGCACTTCTGCCAGTGCGCTCCTCGCCCTTCCTGCTGCCCATTTATTCCCGCCCCGCTCCTCCCCCTCACCCCGCTGCGTTCTGGACAGAGTCTATTCCCCCTCTGCTTCACCCCTTCCCCTCCACAGTCTAGTGCACATGGTGGTGGACAGGGTGGGGGGATTCTTCGCCTCTTGGGAACACGCACCTTGCTCCGCCTCACTACACCATTCCCTGCCTCTTCCCCCTCCACTACCCCCCCTCCCCTCCGTGCTTCTGCTAGCATCCCTCCTGCTGCTCCCTCTGTTATGTCCTCTCCTGCAACCCCCTTCCAACACAGGCGCACCGCTTGCACCCCGCTCACACTACTCCGTGTACCCACCCACTGTGTCTCGGATCTCAGCAGCATCAGTTCCCACTGTTGGTGTTAGGTTGGAGAGGATGGTACAAAGAGGAGGGGGAGAGCGCTGAATGTGCGACGAGCGGAGGGCTTTAGGCACAGGATGTGCATACGAGAATGGAGGGTGATCTGCACACACCTCCCACCAACATCCCCCTCTGCATGAGAAGCAACTCCATCTCCCGTAATTCACTGAACGCTTTCCACTGAAAGGCCCATGTTTAGTTGCCAGGAGCTGTAGCTAACCAAGCATGCTTAGTGGCTGGGTTGTGACTTGGCTGCTAGATGGTGTGAAACCCCAATTACTATTTACTAAAGAAAGATGCTACAGATGTGTTCGTTTACTGTTGACACTACTGTTCAAGACAATGATAGAAATAATGAGACGAACCAACTTGGTGCTTGAAAATACTTGGTTGGTGTTCTGATTTTGAAGCACTCCTCTTGGGATGCCATGTCTTCGTTGCCACAAAGACAAAACCTTGAACTGTGAACAATGGGCTACGCTTCTTTATAATGGGGGGGGGGGAGGGGGGAGGGGAGAAGCGATGTAGGTTGTCCAGCCATACAGATTGGAAACAGATTGCCATACAAGTATCAAAGCACATTATTGAATTAGGGTCAGAGACATGCTGCCGAGAGTGTAAATGTACTGCACTATGTGCAGGGATTATGCGTCTTAGCATAGTACTGAAGCTCATCCTCAACTTCCCCTGCGGAAAATTGGACGGTTGCGACATGCTCTGAGGAAGGTTGTGTTGTGCCCTTATGCGAAGAGAAGGGGGATCTAGCGGGGCAGACAGGCAGAGGCGCGCCTCACACCTGCTGAGTGCGCCACCAGACCACACCTGGGAGGCGCCTGCGGGGGAAGTGTGGGGGGAGAGGGGTTGGGGCGAGAGGAAGAGAAGGGGGATCTAGCGGGGCAGACAGGCAGAGGCGTGCCTCACACCTGCTGAGTGCGCCACCAGACCACACCTGGGAGGCGCCTGCGGGGGAAGTGCTGGGGGGAGAGGGGTTGGGGCGAGAGGAAGAGAAGGGGGATCTAGCGGGGCAGACAGGCAGAGGCGCGCCTCACACCTGCTGAGTGCGCCACCAGACCACACCTGGGAGGCGTCTGCGGGGGAAGTGTGGGGGGAGAGGGGCTGGGGTGAGAGGAAGAGAAAGGGGATCTAGCGGGGCAGACAGGCAGAGGCGCGCCTCACACCTGCTGAGTGCGCCACCAGACCACACCCGGGAGGTGCCTGCGGGGGGAGAGGGGTTGGGGCGAGAGGAAGAGAAGGGGGATCTAGCGGGGCAGACAGGCAGAGGCGCGCCTCACACCTGCTGAGTGCGCCACCAGACCACACCTGGGAGGCGCCTGCGGGGGAAGTGTGGGGGGAGAGGGGTTGGGGTGAGAGGAAGAGAAGGGGGATCTAGCGGGGCAGACAGGCAGAGGCGCGCCTCACACCTGCTGAGTGCGCCACCAGACCACACCTGGGAGGCGCCTGCGGGGGAAGTGCGGGGGGGAGAGGGGTTGGGGCGAGAGGAAGAGAAGGGGGATCTAGCGGGGCAGACAGGCAGAGGCGCGCCTCACACCTGGTGAGTGCGCCACCAGACCACACCTGGGAGGCGCCTGCGGGGGAAGTGTGGGGGGAGAGGGGTTGGGGTGAGAGGAAGAGAAGGGGGATCTAGTGGGGCAGACAGGCAGAGGCGCGCCTCACACCTGGTGAGTGCGCCACCAGACCACACCTGGGAGGCGTCTGCGGGGGAAGTGCGGGGGGGAGAGGAGGAGCCGTCGTGATAGGGAGAGCAGGGGGGTTGCGGGGCAGTCAGGCAGACAGGCGCCTCACACCTGCTTAGGGGGGGATGCGGGGAGGCAGACGGATGAGAGATGAGTGGGAGCAGGTGGGGATATGAGAGGGAATAGGAAGGAAACGAGAGGGTGAAGGGGTTAAAATGGGAGGGCTAAAATGGGGGATATGAGAGGGGTGAGATGGGAAGTGATAAGTAAGGGAACGAGGCACTGACCATGCCTCTTCATCCCCACACTCGTAATCCTTTCCCTCCTCCCCACCCCAGCATCCGTCAAAATAGCTACATTGCCCACCCCTTTACCATCCGCTCGTAAGCCCTCATTTTCCGCTTACCTCGGTCCGTTCAGGTTCCGTACTCCCCAGTCCCGTACGCCCTCCACATTTTCCCACGGTTTCCCGTGCTCAGCCACTCGCATTCGGGAACACACCAGGCCTCTACCCGTTGGCATATCCCCCCTCTGAGCCAGCTCACTCTAACCTTTCCCCATCCCGTTTTTCGTGGACCCTCCACAGTGCGCGCGTGGTTCTCGCGAGAACCAGTCCCCACTGACCTTCTCCAGCGGCGGCTCCCTCCATTTTTTTATTTCAGGCAGACGCCGTACATGGTTGGTGTTCGCGTGGCTCGCGCTAGGTTAATGAGGCCCTCTTTCTCGTGCGCTTCCCTCAACGCTCACCAAGCATTACAACAATGTAAATTACGGAGAGGCATATTTTCTGCATGTTGTTATTTGCCTCGTTCGTCATATTCTCTCCCGCTCACCCTCTAAACAGGCAGAGACCGATGCGGCAGTTGCACGCGACGATAAATGTTAGGAGGCGCTGTGCCGGTGATGTGCGTGAGGAGCCTGGTGTACCAATCGCAGCCTGCGGGAAACTAGCCCAAGTTCTACGAGACGCCTTTTACCTACAGCGAGAGGTGAATGCTACTCGGAGGTCGAACGACAGAAGCACCGGACTTGACGAGTCTCCTAATTCTGTTTTAGTTTATGCGATACGGCTGTGGTAGTCGCCCTGTTCTAGCGTGGTAATACGCTTGGAAGGCATTTTGACTGGCGAGATGGAAAGCTGTGTGAAACGCAGTCTCTAATATGGTTGGTCTCGCGGTGGGAGACTTTCGCATAGCGAGGTGGTGTCGCACGACTGAACCACAAACTTGTCGCTCTGTATCCTCAGGTGCTTCTCCAGACCTTGGTTTGGTGCACGTTCGATTGCTGGCCCTCCCTGGTTGGGTCACGACAATATTTCTAGCCGAGAAGCACAAACCCAACCAGCCCCCAACCCTGTGCAAACTGCAGGTGTAGTTTGGCGACGGGAACCCTGTTACCAGTTTTCTACCGTATTACACTTGGTCGAAAGGGCGGAAATATGAGACGCGGGCTTTAAGGAAAGATGCATCATCTCACCATTGGCACTGGTCCTTCGCCAGATACTTACCATACTCCAGCCTGCCACTCTGACCTGCTGAAGTAGAGGCAACCTCAAGTTAACAATATTCTCAGCTACAATATACAACCAGCTTACAGAGGTAGTAACGAGATGAAGCAGCACACACAAGTATAAAAAGTAATTTCGACCAGGCATGCTATGTAGGTACCTAACTAATAATTTCATATGCAGAGAAAAACACACCACCTGAAGTGGTTGAGGCAAGATGCAGGAGCGGAATCTGACATGCGCCAAGAGCTAAGCACCATATGCTCGTGAACCTAGCTCTGCCACCCCTCGTATGCTGCACCTCTGCCAGAAAACACTGCCAAAGCATCATCACTGCTATCAACCAATGAAGCATGACCAGCACCATGGCCAATTACATGGTCATTTCGACAACCAGGACCAGTCGTCGTTTCATGGTCTGCCCAGGCTACTTCTCTTTCATGATGGGTGCGGCGAGGAGTCACATAAATAGGTAATCCAGCAGCGGCTGCAGCTGCCGCAGCTGCTGCAGCATAGTGAGATGGTGGCTCCTGTGAGGGAGGCAGAGAAGCAGGGCAGGATAAAGGGCCAAAGTGACTTGGGCTTGGAAGGACAGCCGCTGATGAGTCCAGGGAAGAAGATTGAGGGAAGGAGAGACTGGCGGTTAAGGCATGCACAGAATCTTGCTCAGGCTGTGCGGAGTGGAAGGATGGCAATTTCAGTGGCTGTGGCCGTACGTGGCGGTGAGGGAAGCGCTGGGTGGCAGATACGGGAGGAGGGAGGAGGGAGCCAATTTGAGGAGGGAGGCTGTGTGGTGCTGTGTCCTGCTGCTGCCACTGTTGCTGCTGCTCCCAAGGATAACTAGAAAGGTCCTGCTGCTGACGATTGTGAATCTGCTGGTAGCGATCCCCCTCCTGTGGTTGCTGGCGGAGGTGAGAATGGCAGGGCGGATCATCGCTGTACAGGTCCTCCTCCTCCTCCTGGCGCTCACTGAGCTCAGCAAAATATGACAATGATTGCTTGCCTGGCCGCCGAATCATCCGAGGAGGTGGGGGCGTGTGGGGTCGGTAGACACGAGCTCCAGAGCCAGCAGCAGCATCACGGCCAGAGCGGGATGATAACGGCGGCCGCTCTAGCCGTATGGGCTGCCATGTGTCTCTTGTGTGTGGAGGCTGCTGCTCGCCATACACAGCTGCTGCACTCTCCTCTTGGAAATTCTTGTTCTTCTCCCCCTCCTGCACTTTCACCTTCTCTTCCCCGTCCCTCTCTCCCTCTTCCTCTTCCTCTTCTCCTTCCTCTTCCTCTCCTCCACTCATGTCATCTCCATCACCCACCACTTCTTCCTCCTCTCCAAGATTAACATCTTCATCTTCCGCCTCTGACCACTCTTCGTCCTCCTCTTCCTCCACATCCTCCTCACTGGACCAATCCTGCTCACTCCCCTCCTCATCTCTCCACCCCCTACCTCTAAACTCCCTTTCACCTCCATCCCTCCCTCCAAACCTTACACCCAACCCAAGTTGTTCCTTCTTCAACCACACAACACCTCTCTGCACCCTTTCCACCACTCCATGTCCCTTTCCCACTCCTTCATGCCCCTTTTCCACCTCTTCCTTGTGCTCGTGCCTCACACCAGATCCCATCACCACCACTTCCATCTGCCCAGGCAGCAACCCCTTGTACTGCTGCTGCTGCTGCAAACGCCATCGCTGCAAGCCCGGATGCTCCCTGTCAACAGCAGCAGCAGCCGAAGCAACAGCAGCAGCTGTAGCAGCAGTAGCAGTAACCTCCAAAAGCCTTGTTTCACTCTCAAATACCTGCCGCTGCTCATCCCAGAACTCACACCCATGCTGCTCCTGCTCACTTGCACCAAGCATATCCACATCAACCCTACCACTCCTGTTCCTACCCAAGGCGGCGGCGTCTCTCTCTTCTTCACCCCTCTCCTCGCGCCTTTTCCTGCCACGCCCGTACCACAGCCTGCTGCCCTTGCTCATCCTGCCCTCGTGCCCCCTCTTTCTCTGGTCGCCTTTCGCTGTGTCTCGCTCTCGCTCACCCACTACCATCCCTCCTTCATCACTCTCCACAGCCCCCCGCTTTTCTTTGGTTCTGATCCTCCCCTTGTGTTTTCTCCCGTAGCCTACCTTCCCTTTGCCAGTTTCACCAACACTGGTATCTCCACGCGTCAAGTCCCAGCGCTTCAACAGAGCGACCTTGGCAGATGGAGCTGCTTCTGAAGAAACGTCCCCCATTTTCAGTTCGGCCTGTTTGCTCTTCCTCATCTCCTTCTCAACTTCAGCCCCACCTCGTTTCCCCTTACCCCTGCTCCGGCCCTTACGTCCTTCCTGCACATGGGCTGCTTTGTCACTCAAAACACCATCACCAGCTGCAGCAGCAGAAGCAGCAGTAGCAGCAGAAGCAGCAGAAGCAGCAGCAGCCCTAGCAGAGCAAGCAGCAGGCGCAGCAGCAGAAGCAGGAAGCATGAGCTCTTGAGAAGAAGCGTGAATGTGGGAGAGCGCATCAGGAGCATGGCAAGCACCACTGGCTGTGATTGCAGCCGATTCCAAGCTGCTGCTGCCGCTGCTGCCGATCGCCTGTGCATGCTGCCGCGGCACAGAGTCATCAAAGTACAGCAGGGGAGAGTGCGGTGGAGAGTGGTGCTGACGCCTTGAGAAACGGGCAGAGGGCTGCTGAGGAGAGTATATGGGTGAGTAGTACTGTGGAGGAGGGGTGGGGTGCTGGTGTTGTAGCATCTGCTGCTGCTGCTGATGCAACTGACTGTGGTAAGGCGAGTCTTGAGAAGAAGATGCACATGAGAGGTGCGAACGGTGAGCTTGCTGCTGTTGGTGATGTTGGTGCTGCTGAGGCTGGTGGTGAGGCGACAGGTTTGCTGAAGAAGCAGCGGACGCAGTGGGATCAAACGAACTCCACAGCGGCAGCTCCCCACATCCCACTGCTGCCACGGCTCCTCCCCCTTCAGGTGCTCCTCCTCTTCCTCCTCCTCCACCACCACCACCACCTCCTCCTCCTCCTCCTCCCCGGCCTGGGACCGTTTCTGCTGCAATTTCTCCTGACCATCCTCCCACTCCCATCCCCACACCATCTTCACCAGCAACTACTTTCGATGTTGCCCCCACCGCCGCTGCCCCAACTGGCGCCGCCACCGCCACCGCCGCTGCTGCTGCAACAGTTGCAGGCCCCACCGCTACAGCCTCAACCACACTCGATTCAGAGTCACTCACGTTGCCGCCCCACTCCCTCTCTTGCCCTCCCCAACCCTTCCCACGCCATCCTCCTCCCTCTCGTCCATCCACTTCCATCCCTGCCCATGGCCTTTCCTCCACCACCACCACCTCCCGACTCCCCATACTCGTTATAGCGCTATCCCCATGCACCGGTGCTGCTGCTGCACCTGTGGCGCGGCCTGGAACAGCCATGGCAAGGGGAACGGGTGAGTCGGGGCTGGGAGCAGCAGCAGCAGCAGCAGGGGCGTCAGCAGAAAAAAATCGAGGAACAAGAGCGGAGGAGGCGTGAGCGAGAGCAGGAAGGTGGTAAGGGGGAGGAGGAGGGAAGCGGTGAGGAGTGTGGGAGGTGCTGCTGCTGTCCTGATAGTTGCTGCTGTCCGGTTTGTGGCTATCTTGAGCGTACTTGCTGTGTGAGGCAGAGGATTCAGAGCTTCCAACAAACATGATGCCACCCCTTGGCCTACCCGCCCACATCCCACCCCGCTGCTGCCCTCCTTCCTTCTGCTGCCCCCCCTCCTCCCCCTGCCGGTGTCCCTGTTGCCCTTGCTCCCCCTGCTCCCCCTGCTGCCCCTGCTGCCCTTGCCTTTGCTCCCCTCGCTTTCGCTCTACCCCATGCTCACGTTGCTGGTACCACTGAGCCCGTACCTGTACCTTCTCCCATAAATCCTCATCCTCATCCCCATCCTCATCCTCCTCCTCATCACCCTCCTCCTCCCCTCCACTACCACTGCCCCCTTCCTCGAGAGTACCCAGCCGGCCCCGCTCCTCTCTCTCCACAGCCTCTAGCCATCCCATCACCAGCCAATTCCTGCCTGCCACCTGTACAGCGCGCCACAGCTGCAGGTCCACCACTTGCGCGTGCAGAGGTGGAGCGTCGGGGGCGGCGGAGGAGGAAGAGGCAGAGCCGGTGAGAGGAGTGGGCTGGGACGCGTGAGGGAGAGAGTGTGGGCCGAACGATGATAGGGATGTGAAACGGAACCTGAGGGATGAGTCGGGAAGGGGAAATGGGGGAGTGGGGAGGGGAAGTGTGTGTGATGTCGAGCAGGAGGGCAGGAGAGGAGGGAGGGCAGCAGGGGAGGCAGGGCAGGATAAGACGAGGAGAGCCGATTTGTTAGGCGCCTCAAAGATAGTACAATCACAAAAGCAGAGTCGAAGGGCAAAGTATGAGACCTTTAGAGTTTTGGAATGGAGTTTTGGAGGCATGCGGTGTGCGCATGGCAATGGCAACAGCAATGAGAATGACGATGATGACAATAGCGACGAAACACACACACACACCTACCCACCCGCTCACCCGCCAACCCACTCCCACCCACCCACCCACCCACCCACCCACTCTCCCACCCGCACGCGCACCTGCATGCGCACAAACACACACCCACCTATCCTCCCCTCCCCCCCCCCCCACACTGACACCGTTCAAACAAGCGCCCACCTGATCTTGACGGACTCGGCTCGTTCCAGAGCCTCCGTGGCCATGTGCCAGTCCAGAGGCCGCATCCGCCCCCCACTCAGCTCCCACACTCGCCTCCCCTCCAGCTGCACCTCCCTCTCCCTCTCCCTTGCTCTCTCGCTCCCCCTCTCCCTCCCCGATGCCCCTTCAACGCCGCTCACCCCCCTCGCTTCACCTCTGCTCGTGACCCCAGCCACAGTATCGTGAACAAGACCACCATCACCAGCAACAGCTGCGAAAGGAGCAGAAGCAGCAGCGCTTTTCAACACAGCAGCAGCAGCAGCAGAGAGAGGGAATGCGTGTGCGACGGCAGCAGGGCTAGCCGCAACAATGAGGCCAGACTCTGCTTCGAGCAGCAGCGCAGCTCGGCCCGACGGCGCTTGAGCCACGCTCAGGAACGCTGCTGCTCCTGCTGATGCTGCATGCACGGACGCCAGCTCAGCAGACAGCCACGGAGGGGGTGAGCTCGCACTCATGCCGCCGCTGCCGCCGCCGCCGCTGCTGTTAGTGTTGCTGCTACTGCTGCTGCCGCGGTTGCTCATGCCTGTGCCCACGCTGCTGTCGCTGGGTCGGAGCTCACGCGGCTGTTTCGCCCTGCTGCTGCTTGGAAGAAGCGCGTCAAAGGAGGTTGCTTCTACAGCAAATGCAGGGGCAGCACCACGAGAGGTCCCGGCAGGAATCCCATACTCCTCATCATAAATACCATTATCCACAGCAGCAGCAGGAGAAGCAGCAGCAGGAGAAGCAGCAGGAGAATCAGCAGGAGAAGCGGCGGCAAAGCCAGCGCCTCTGCCAATGAGAGCGCTCATGAGCGGATTGCACCCGGGCTGAAAGCCCCTTGACACGCCCACCACACTACCGTCACTGTTGCGCCTCACTCGCCCCCCACCACCCCCAACTCCTCCCACCCCCCCATGCAGCCCCCCCATCATACCCTGAAGCCCCTCAAAACGGCCCCGCTCCCCATGCCCCGCGCCCTCCCCGCGCCCCCCGCGCTCCCCCTGCGCGTGGCCGTGCAAGCCGCCCATATGCACGAGCCTGTGCCGGTGCTTGTATCGCTCTGTGTGGTCGTCAGGGTGGGACTGGGACTTGGGGAAGAGCGAGGGGGGGAAGGGCGGAGCCGAGGGGCGTTCTGGACCGGGCATGGAGTGGCTTTTGAAGCGGTTGCGGTGGGCTACCAGGTGCGCGGATGCAGGGAGTGGTGGGCGGGGGCGCGCTGCTAGTGATGGCGGCGTTGCTGCTGATGATAATGATGATGACGGTGAGAACGATGCTCGGTGCGAGTGGCCTGGGGTGGTTACCAGAGCAGCTGGTGGAGGGAGGGAGGGAAAGGACGGAGAGAGGGAGGGAGGGAGGGAGGGAGGGAGGGAGGGAGGAACGGCGGGAGAGGAAACGAGGCCATAACGGTGAGTGATGGCATTGAGGATGCAGGCAGGCTTGTTCTTAATGCTGAGTACTGCATGGGATTGGCCAATGCTAGATGCATGCAACCGCAAGCAGCAACGAATAGGACAACAGGAAAAACAACCAGTAAGCTTATTAAAATCCTAAGAGAACAGAGTAGAGAGAAGAGGTGAATGCGGAGGACAATTGAAAGAGAACAAAAGCAAAAAGTATTGTGGGCTGGGACGCGTGAAATCTCAGAAACTACTCTCACCAACAGCAGTAAGATCCCAGGAACCACCACCGTAAGAGCCACGGTGGTATGCGACAGCAGGCTCGGGAGTGGTACCAACCCCACTTCCTCCTCCTCCTCCTCCTCCTCCTCCTCCTCCTCCTCCTCCTCCTCCTCCTCCTCCTCCTCCTCCTCCTCCTCCTCCTCCTCCGCCTCCTCCTCCTCCTCCTCCTCCTCCTCCTCCTCCTCCTCCTCCTCCTCCTCCTCCTCCTCCTCCTCCTCCTCCTCCTCCTCCTCCTCCTCCTCCTCCTCCTGCAGAACCTACGATACTGGGAGTACCAGCAACAGGGTTAGCAGCAGCAGCAGCAGGGGCGGAGGAAATGCCAGGAAGGAGCAGCAAGGCGGAGTCAGCCGAGCCAGGTGGGAAGCGAGGCACAGGCGAGGCAGCAGCAGCAGCAGCAGCAGCATCAGAGAAAGGCTCCTGAATGCTACCCCAGGGGTCGGGCGAGAAGAGCGGCGAGTGCATGGCAGGACGCGCTGCCGCCGCCGCAGCAGCCGCCGCTGATGATGACGACGATGATAATGCGGCGCCGCTGATAAACGCCTTCCACCCTCCCTGCCGCTCTCTGCCTGCCCCAAAGTCCGTGTGGCTTCTGGAGAAGAGGCGAGGGGGAGGGGACGGCGCCCTCCGCGCTCTCGCCCGTGCGTCAACCACGCTTTCCGCCACCGCACCCAGTCCGGTCCCGCTGCTGGCCCCTTCTCCTCCTCCTCCTCCTTTACCTCCTGTTACGCCGCCTACTCCTGCTCCTGCTCCTGCTCCTGCTCCTGCTTCTCCTCCTCCTGATGCTGCTGCTGTTGCTACTCCTGGCGCTGCTCGCCTGCGGGGTTTCAGCGGGCCAGACTTGCTCTTCCTCCTGCCCATGCCATAGTTCCAAAACGCGTTCTTGCTCGCCTTATCGCCAACACTAGCACCACCACCATCACCACCACCATCAGCACCACCAACACGGATACCACTGCCATACTGCCCGCCCCCGCCCCCTCCTCCTCCGCCGCTGATTCTCATCTCTTCCAGATAGCCACTTCCCCCCACGCCAACCTCCCCCGCTTCCGCCAAGCGCACATGCTGGCGCCCCTCGCCCGCCAGGGAAGGGGGCGCAGCGGGAGGGGCAGCGCTCAGATCCCCACCCTCGCGTGAAACTTCCCCAGCGCCTGCTCCTCCTCCTCCGCCCGCGCCTGCGCCGCCAGCCTGCGCCTTGCGCGGGCGCAGCGGCCCCGACTTGCTCTTGCGCCTGCCCAGCCCGTGGGTCCATAGGCTAGCCGTGGCCGTCGCTGGCGCGGGCAGTGTCGGGGAGGGTAGAAGCGGAATAGAGAACCCGCCTGCGCTTACTCCGCCATCTGCGCTTGCTCCGCCTCCGCCTTTCCCAGCGTCGCCTCCGCCATCTCCTTCCCGCTCTCCTCCTCTCTCGCTCAAAGAACCATCCACGGACGCGTCTGTCGCGCCGTTTCCTCCGTCCCCCATTCCCACCACCAACGCCGCTGCTCCCGCTGGTGGCGGCGCCACCGGCGGCGCAATCCCCGCGTCGGCATTGACCTCGCTCTGCTTAAACAGGGGATTCTCGAATCCTTCCACCGCATCGCCGCCATTGCTCCCGCCAGCATTCCGCAGCTTCGGAACGGCCGGCGCCTCCGCCGCGCGCGGCGGAATGCGCGGCTCATGCGCGCGCGCATCCAGGTCCAAGCTGCGGAGGAGGAGGCTCCGCGGAGGAGGAGACGCGCCACTAAGCTCTCCCCTGCTCCCCGCCGCGCGCGCGGCTGCTACGGCGGCTAAAGCCGCAGCTTGCCCCTTGCGCAGCCGCACCGGACCCGACTTGCTCTTCCGCTTCCCCATGCCGGAGGTCCAGCGCGCCGCTCCGCCCAGCAGCGGACTCCCTGGCGCACCCGCCTCTGCGCCTGCGCCGTCCGCCGCTCCCCGCGACGCAGCACCGGACGCCGCTGTCGGCGCAACCGGCGGGCGGCCCCCGAGGACCGCGTTGGCCGCCGCGCCTGCGCCGCCGGAAGCCCAGGCGGACTCTGACAGCGAAACGCTCTTTATCGCGCCCCTCGACGACCCTGCTGCCACTGGCGGAAGCGCGGACGTTGCGCCCGCCGTCGCGGGATTCCTCGGTCCCCCAGCGCCCGCCGCCGCTGCCGCTGCGGCCGCGTGCGGGAAGCGCTGATCGGTGAGAGACTTGCTCTTGAACATCCGCCGTCCCCCGCCAGCCGACCGCGCGGCGTTCCCCAGCGCCGCGACCGCCACTGCGCCGACCATTGCGCCAATCCGCCCGCCGCGCCCGCCGCGGTCGGCACGTTCTAGCCCCGCCTGTCCGCCGGCCAGAGGTGACTCAGGCAACGCGACCCTTCGCGCCTCGGCCTCTAGATCCCTCGTTGCTGCGAACGCGCTTCCGCTTCCGCTGCCGCTGCCGCTCCCCGCGGCGCTGCCAGAGCGGCTCGAACTGCCGTCCCGCCGCAAGTCACGCGGCCGAACATCCCTTCGCGACGCGCCAAGTGCACCTTCTTTCGCTCCAATACTAGTAGCTCCCCGAGGCGCGCCCGAGGACGATGTCGTCACTAGCCCTCTCTCGCTGTCCGAGTCGCTCCCTGAGTTAAATCCGCGCGCTCCGGCTGTTTTGGGAAGAGGAGACCACGCAGATGTGCTTGCAGCGGGAGTTGCGACGTCGCCGGGCGTCGCGACGTCGTCCTCGGGCCACTCGTGGATGCTCTTGGGAGTCTTGGACGACAGCGGCGGCGTCGCAGGGACTGTCGCAGAGCCTTTCGCAGACGACGGCAATCCTGACGAGAGAGCGGACCAGATCTTATTGAAACCTCCCGCGATTCCCTGCCGTCCCGTTCCTGACTGTGCTGCCTTTCCTGCCGCTCCTGCGACCGATCGCTGGTGGTTAAGCTTGGCTCCTTGTTGCTCCTGCTGTTCCTGCTGCGGCTGCTGCTGCAAGTGCGACTGTGGTTGCAACTGCTGCTGCTGCTCTTGAATTGGCTGCGACGGGTTGCGATGGGAGTTGTGCGACGGAAGCGACAACGACTTGCTGTGACGGCCGCTGGAGCTCTTGCGAAAGATGCGGTCGAAGTCTAGGTGCAGCGTCAATTCCGTCTCCATATCACTCTCCGCATTCGCCGCCGCTCCCGCGTCTCCTAACCCTGCGCCGCCACCCCCGTTGCCGCCGCCACTGGCGGCAGCAGAAGCAGAAGCGCTGCCGCCGGCGGCGCCCGCGGCAAAGACAGCGGCGACATTTGGGTCACTGTGCCGGCCGGCGGGGTGCCGCATATGCGGGGGATGCACGGAAGGGGAAGTGCCGGCGGCGGAAGCGGTAGACGGGCGGCCCTGCGCGTCGATCTCGAGGCGGCGCCGCGCGTTAAGATCGGGCGGTTCCTGCTGCTGCCGCGCTGAGGTAGAGGAGGGGGCGGTGGGGGAAAGTCCGGCGAATAACCGCGGCGCGGAGGAGAGAACAGGCGCCATGGGGAACAGGGGTCGATATTATAACTTCAGCAAGGTCCACAGGATAAAGGAAGCGCCTCTTAGGATCCGAATAGCGAAAAGGCTAATCTCCTTGACAAGCATTCGAGGCTGACATCGGGGCCGAGTGGAGCGCCGCGTGTCACGGCGGAACGTTTGGATGTTCCAAGGGGCTCAATCCCAGCATGTGCAGAAGTCAGCGAGCGTATCTTGCCGTGCGTCGTGGAATCCCACCCTCAACCTTAGCCTTGCGGCGGAATTCCACAATCGAGGTTAAAAACCTAAGTTCTGCGAGCAATGAACTGGCTACTGTGGTAGTGAGCATGCGAATCTGGCGGAAGGGGATGGGTGAAACTGATGAAGGTTCGTTTCTGGCTTCGGTCAAGGTCTACGCGTCAAGAGATAAGAGCGGGTGAGCCAACATTAGTGTCTATCACAGGTGGCTTCTTTCCTCCCCTGGACCGCGAAAGATTAGCCAACAGCAAAGTTTGCGCAACAGATGGCGCCACGGTGCTTGCTTGGGATCAGCTGGGGTGGCTACTCTAGGGTGGGAGCTTTTCCCCCTTCCTATGCCTTCATGGCCTCTCAAGGACGGAAGGAGGACGACGGACGGAAGTCTTGGTTTTCGTGGGACGCTGGAGCTGTCGTGGTGTGGGAGCGATGGACGGCGAACTGGATTCAGGATTCTTCTGCTACGCTGGGCACCGTCGCACGCACCAGCTGCTGAGGTGGTGCTGGGAGAGTCGGCGACGAAACGACACGACGAAGTGAGGAGGACTGGGTGGGAGAATCATGCCGTTGGCAGGATCACCCCGCCTCATCGCCAACGTTACACAAGCGAATTGCACCAACCAAATGCTTCCATCTCATCCCTCTCACTCATCATGCGATTCCAGAATTGTTTGTTTTTATTGCAGACGGTCTCAAGAACTTTCAGCCGTCACACCCTGAAGAAGTATTTGTTATCCCAGTCTCAATACCGAGTCCTGGTCCTCCTCATTGCATTGGTCTGCCACCCTCCCTCCTAAAATTTCAAGTCTCGGTGCAAAGCGAGCAGGTTTTAGTTGAAAGGCATCAGAGACTGTTGTGAAGGGAGGGTGGAGGAGCCTGGCCTGTCATGCCGACACGAATGCCGTTTCTTCCAATCCCGAAGACCCTCCTGAATCCTGATGCCTTGTTTGGATGCACGGTTACCACTTTCTTCAGGTGATGCCATAGGAGCCGTTTGCTGCTTACGTGGCAAGTGACGATCTCAAATTCAGTGTTGATATGTGCGGGCAGGAGACAACGCTATAAGGACAATTTGTAAAAACTTTCGAACAGAATAGTGAACTTGCTTGCTTATTCGAAGGAGCCTTGGAGGTTGACCTGTCCAGTGCCAGGCTCTTGTAAAAGGGCTGGGATTGGCAAATGTAGAGACAGAGATCGTATAACCCAGAAACGTAAGACACACTTCAACTTTGACCTCCAACGGAGCCAAATCTTCTATGAGGTGATCCGTTGGGTACACCTCTTTTTTCAACATTCTTACCTTGCGCGAGTCGTCGCTACAGCACTTGTCTCTTGCGATCTGGTGCCATTGAACGTTCCAAGCAACCTGGGGGGAAAAGCTGAACCATGTGACTAACTGGCTCAAGGACGTAAAAATTCCGTAATCGCTGTATACCCTTCCCAAACAAATGAAAACGTTGACAACGCTGTTTGTAAAGTGCATCACCTCACCTAAACGTATTCTTCGCATTGTGCTTGTACAGAATGAGAATATCATTCTGAACGTGGTGACGTTCTACAACCCGTATATGTCATGCTACCAGGTGCTCTACTAGCGCGGAAAAGAGTGTACAGATGTTCTCGTTTATAGTCCGACGGATCAACATCACCGCGCGCGGACTATGTGGCAAACCCTGCAAACCCCATGCAAAACGCGATACTGATAGTCCCGTTCAGGAAAATTTCATGAAGAGTGGTTGTTTTGCTACTAGTTTCTGGAGTTTGGCATTTACGTAGATTTGGACCGCGCTTGCTTCAACTTCCAGTCGCACGGTTTTCCACGCTGATCAATGTCGCATGACTAACGGTCAAAACAAAACAAAATCAAATATGGTTTGGGGGTCGAATAGTAACCCCAAAATTTCGTTTCTACCCTGTAAGCGAGATAAATGAGATGTCATTGTCGATCGCGCTGGAGACAGCGCGACAGGATTGAGAATTAATCGCGGTCAAGAGAAACAAATGTTTACAATAAAAAGGTTAAAATATCGAATCGATGATCTCTTTTTCATCGTTTTCTTTGAATGTTGGGGTGGTTTGATCTGGAGCCTCTGATTGGCTGCGGAGCTGATACGTGCAATGATTCGGTCAAGCTACAAAATTTCCCGCCAAAAACGGGACTATAGGGGTCGGGCCAACCCTAGGCGATATCGGAAAATTCTACTCAGGGGGGAAAAGGGACTCTCTCAACGAAGGCCTCTAAGCAGGAACATCTGTATGCGGGTGGGTGGTGACGAAGTCAAGAGGATGGGAACATTTGTGGAATGTCCAAGTCCACCGATTGTATCGCGAACCTCCCTGTCGTTTTCTGCCAGACTCCCACATGCCCGAGTGTACAACTGAAACAATAGTCTTCAATAAAATGGAATAGTTAGGGAGAGACTTGCGAGTGTACAGAAAGCACATGACGAAACGCTTGGGAAGGGTCTTGTTCGCTGACCGTCCAAGTCATGTCGGTCGCAACACGCCAACAGCGTTCTACCGCACTGTGCAACGGGCAGTAACAGACGTTCATGGTCCCTGTCTTGTGCTGTGCGAGTCAACCTGGCTTGGGAAACTGGAATGGGTGCAAATTTGACAGATCATTGTCATCAATGTACTTATACAGCTTATTCTGTGCGGTTAGGAATGTTCTGCCATGGTGCAAAACGGTGAAGACTGAAAACCGCTGGGCGCACCGCCTGATATTCCTTCCCACCACAACGGATGAACTGTAAACGAAGGGTACACGTACGCGCTGGACCTGTCCCGATAGTCCAGATTGATTAGGTGTTACGGTACAAGTTTCTCTGTGTTACGGGTGCAATGAATCGAAGTAGCTAGAATTGCACTAAGGTGTCAGACGAGTACAAAATGTGAGCGAATGCATGAGCGAACATTTATACGCGAAACATGCAAACGGTAACGCGGTGCGTGCGAGCTAGCTAGTGCTACGCTGGAAGCGAGGCTCGGGCTAGTCCCGAAGCGTAGGCCGACACGGCCAGGCCAGCAGTGCGAGGTTTGGTGAAACAGTGCGCGCGAAGTCGGCGAAGCCCCGTTAGCAGTAACGGGCGAACAACGGCTGCTGCTGTACGCGATGTTGCAGGGTGCGCTAAGGAATATCGAGAAAATTCCTTACACTACCCCCCCCCCCCTCAAGAAGCCCCCTCCGTTACGCGAGTGCGTGTATATCGCGGAAGCCCCGGCTCCTCAGGTACACTTGCAGGGCAGGGTGGTTTTCGATGTTGGCCAGGGACACCCAGCTATCCTCAGTTGGCGTGCGATCCTTCCAGCGAACGAGGAATTCAATCCTCCTGATTCCCGTGGGGTGTCGATTCCGATGGCTCATGATTTTTTCGGGCTCGATGATCGGCTCCGATGCAGGGCGAGTCATGGATGGCGGGCGGTGGCGAGGCAGTTGGCTTGTGGTTGGGATGTATGGGCGAAGCAAGCAGACGTGGAACGAAGGGCTGATGTACCAGTCTGTCGGCAACAGTAGGTGAGCTGTGACTGGGGTAATCATGTGGCTGATTTGGAATGGTCCACAGTAGCGGGGTCGTAATTTCGGTACGACGGGCAGTCTTAAGTTTTGCGTGTCGAGCAGTACGTAATCTCATGACTGGTACGTGACCGGGCGGCGGTGGCGGTCAGCGTTGCGCTTAGCGATGACGTTGGATTTTTTAATTGCTTCTGCAGCTCTGGTGCGGGCAGCTTGCAGAATTTCGGCGAATTGCTGTGCACGTGGCGTTGGGTTGTCCAGACTCGGCGTCATGGGCACTGTAGGGTTTTGCCCGTAGTTCAGATAGAAGGGGGACTGCTGCGTCGTCGCTGACGTGGCGTTGTTGTACGCGAACTAGATCAGCGGCAGCTGCTGCTCCCAAGTTGTCGGGTCGTCGCACGTGGCACGAATCAACTGCTCCATCGTCTGATTCATCCGCTCCGTTTGACCGTCGGTCTCAGGGTGGTACGACGAGCTGAACTATAGCCTTGTCCCGAACTGCTCCCAGAGGTTCTTCCAGAAGTTGCTGGTGAACTTCGTGTCGCGGTCGCTAATTATCGCAGCTGGTATCCTGTGCAGTCGAACGACGGCTGCGATGAACAGGCGAGCGGTTTCTTCGGCTGAGATCGATTTCTTGCACGCAGCGAAGTGTGCCATCTTCGTCAACCTGTCAACGACGACCATAACTGCGTCGTTACCCCCAGGGTTCGAAGGTAACCCTTTGACGAAATCCATGGTAACCTGCTGTCAAGCGCGCTCAGGCGGTGGAATCGGCTGCAACTGACCCGCCTTTCTTTTTCGCGAGCTCTTCATCACATGACACGTAGGACACGATCCCACGTGGTGCTGTACGTCGGTCAACAGCTCCGGCCAGTAGTAATACCGCTGCAGTTGCTGTCGCATTTTTTCTACCCCTAAATGTCCAGAGGTAAATCTCGTCGTGTGCCTCCTGCAGTAACAGTTCCCTCAGTAGTGAATACGCGGGTACCCAGATGCGGTTGGTGCCTGTTTTTACGCAATAGACTCCTCTGGCCTCTGCCAGTTGCTGTGAATTTCCGGTCGCGAAAAATGGGTCGGTACTGTATCCGTGGGTGAATAGGCCTGTTAGCAGTGGGTTGGTTTGGGCGAGTAGGATGGCGTGGAGTTGGGCGGTGGGGCGTGTGAGTGCGTCGGCGATGTTGGATGCGCCTTTTTTGTACGTGACCGTGTAGTGGAAATTGGACTCCAGATAGTCCAACCAGCGGATCTGTCGTGG